ATCACAGAGAAGAGAAGGGAAACAGGATTGGAAAAGGTCAAATGTGCTGATTTTCAAAGACCAGAAGAACAAGGAATGTGCAACTACAGACAAGTCAACTTGACTTTGATTCCCCCTGGCAACATGCTAAAACTTTAAGACTCAAAAGCTGACAAGTGATCATCCAGAAAAGGAAGGTGGACCGGAAAGAGTCAACATCAAGAGCGGGTGGCTCACAAGAGAAAAGCCCTAAACTGATAAATAATATACATATAACTAACTAAAGCATTTCATGGAAAAGATGGCAAGATGTGGACTCGGTGATAGTGTAATTGAGCAGCTTTGGAACTATGTGAAGGGTCAGACACAGAGAGCGGCCATTAATTATTTAACATCAACTTGGAAGAAGGTTCCAGAGAAACGCATTTGGTCCTGTGAAGTTCACCAGATTTATCGATGGCTTGGATGACATGCGACAGTTAGAATTCCAAAAGCCCTTGACAAGTTAGAACATTGGGCTAAACACAAGACGAGGAAATTGACGTGGGATCAATGTCAAGTTCTACTACCCTTGGGTTCCAAGGTTCATCTTCACACAAAGTGGGGAAAGTGTGATTAGCTAGCAATTCATCTGAAAAGATCTTGAGTGAATACATACCTGATGGTGTCATAGAGCAGCTGAGAAACCTACTGTCATCCTAGGCTACACTGGCCATGGAAATGTCTAGAAATAAAGGTGGCAGTCCTGCTGTACTCTGCCCTTGTCAGACCCCATCTGGAAAACTGTTCAGTTCTGGGCATGATATTTTAGAAAATACACTGACAAGCTGTGGAGCATCCAGACAAAGGCAACAAAGGACAGTAAAGAACCTTGAAGTGACACCATATAAAAGGATCAGTTGAAGGAACTGGGGAGGTTGAAGCTGGAGAAGAGAAGCTTTAGATGGACATGAGAGCCGTCTTCAGGTATTTGAAGGAATGTCAAGTGGAACAGGGAATAGGCTAGTTGTGCTTGGCCCCATGGGACAGAACTAGAAACACTGGTGAAAGTGGCAGAAGTAGATTAAGGCTTGAGGTGGGGGAAAGTCTTCCTGACAATGAGATCTATCTCAGAAGGCAGTGGGCCCTGCTCATTCAGGTCTATAGGCACAGGCTCTAGTCAGGTAAACTGGACAAGGGATTCTTTTCCCCACGTGGGTCTGGCTAGACGGTCACTGAGATCCTTCTTGTCCCTGAGGTTGAGACACCATCACTGAGTATTAGCAGGATTGAAGGATCCCTAGTGACTCCCTGATGCCTCATGCTGGCAGGGACATCCCTGACTGTGGGTGCCCAAGGGTTAGGCCAGCAAAGCCTGAGCTCCCACCAAGCTGGAATGGCTCCAAGCACAGACGGTGTACTTGCTGTCCAAGGAATAACCAAGCTAAGTGAGGTTCCTCACCAAACTGGTTGCAAGACAACAATGTTTTCTACAAGTGCAGCTCTTAAAAATCATCCAGTAAGTTGCAAAGGGGTGCAATTCTTCTCGGTGGAGGAAGTCTGTCTAACCACAATTACACAACGACCCAGCCTAGACAACCACAGCTTGTCGGAGGGTGATTTCTAACATTTTCCTTTAACAGAGAAGGGCACTATTAGCTCCTCACGTTCTCTTCAGAGATCATTCGCCATCCAAGTTTTTAGTGTAGTTACAACAGAAACCACGTACAGACTTACATTCTCCTGCCACCTCCTCCCCCGTACCCCGCCCCCCAAAACAACTGTCCAGAATCTTAAGATTTCTGTTGCCTTTTTAAGACTGGTCCGAGAAATTTAAGTTAGTTCTTCAACCTCAACAACATAAAAAGCAATGGCAAAGTGTCGTTGCCTGACCAGTTCTCAAGAGGATGCAAAGAGAGACGCTTGCTCCTGCGGTCAGAGAAGGTAATGGGTGACAATAAAGGACAAAGGGCTAAAAAGCTAATCTACTCCCTGTTTCCTGCTTAAAGCACCTGTGAGTGTTGTTCATTTTTCATCTTAGAGTTAACAGATTGATACATAAGGAATTCTGTCATCTGTTTGCCTACCAACTCCCCTCTGAAACAGATTTAGGCAGTCTTGGATGCCGGATTAGATTGTTTCTAAAACCTTGTCATCGGACAGAGTTAGTTTAAGTTTTAAAATCTTGTTCTTCAGTTTCTGAATGCTGCTGACTGGATTTTTTCTGTTAGATTCAGTGATTATTTGGTTCCTAGTAATGATGGGAAGGAAGAATTTATTAAGCACCTACTATGCGCAAGACATTGTGCAAAGCTCTTTATGAACAGCATCTCATTTGATCCTCACAACAACCCTGGGAAAGGAGTGCTAATTACTGTTATTTTTATAGTCTGAGGAAACTGAAGCAGACAGAGGTTATGTGACTTGCCCAAAGTCACAAAGCAAGTAGATTTCTAGTAGTGGGGAAGGTTTGACTCAGCTCTTCCTGACTCCAGGCCCAGCACTCTCTGCACTGTGCCTCCAGAGGCCTCTGGGAAGTACAGATGGGAAGGACAATACCTATGAAAAAAAATCTAGACTTTTTTTGGAGGGTTTAAGAAGCATATAGCTACCCACACATATGAAAATATTTATAGCAGCTATTTCTGTGGAGACAAAGAATTGGAAATTGAGGGGATACCCATCAATTGGGGAATGGCTGAACAAGTCATGATATATGAACGTGATGGAGAACCATTGTGCTAGAAGAAATGATGAGCAGTTAGATTTCAGAAAAACCTGGGAAGACTTGTATGGACTGATGCTGACTGAAGTGAGCAGAACCAGGAGAACATTGCACACAGTAACAGCCGCATTGTGCGATGGCTAACTTTGACAGATGTAGCCTTTCTCAGCAATGCAAGGATCTAAGATGTCTCCAAAGGCCTCACGATAGAAAATGCTATCCACATCCAAAGAAAGAACTATGGAGTTTGAATGCAGATCAAAGCACACTATTTGCTCTTTTTTTTTTGTCTGTTTTTTGTTTCTTCTTTCATATGGGTTCCTCCTATTGGTTCTAATTCTTCTTTACAACATGACTAATGTGAAAATATGCTTAATAGGAATGTATATATAGAGCCTACAGTGGATTGCACACTGTCTTGGGGAGGAAGTCGGACAGGGAAGGGGAGAAAATTTAAAACTCAAAAGTTTATGGATGTGATTATCGAAAACTAAAAATAAATTAACTTCTTAAAAAAAGACGCACATAGCTCTTTTTTGACATGTGGTATCCTTAAAGTACCTATTGCACTTACAAAAGTATAATGCACCTGGTTAAAGGTCATCGCTTTTTACAATGAACACTTCCTGGAGCTGCAGAGCACTGCTCTAGAACAATTATCATATGAGTGTCCCAAAAGTCTTAATGCAGTTTTAAGCTTTTTAAAAGCTTCTGGACTACCATGGGTTAGCTCACGTTTCTGTACAGCCACAAGATTCACAAAACACTTTCTCTACAATGACCCTAATAGTATTCTTGATACCATTTTATAGACAGAGTAACCTGAGGAGGCTCTGAGAGGTTCAGGGCATGCCCGTGATTACCCATTCCCGAAATAATTAAAACGATTCCAAATAGGTCTCACTGAACCCCAACTCCAGCATTTTGGGGAAAGAATTTTAACTACATGAATTATACCTCTCAGTTATTTTCTATTGAGAACAAAACACTACTATGTCCTAGGAAAAAAAGACAAATTTCCAAGGAGAAAAGTCTAAAAAGTGGAACCAGTTGACTGATCTACACTTTTAAAATACATCTCATTTTAAGACACACAGTAGTATAAAAATATTACATAAATATATTGGCACAATGTTTAAGTGCCCGTCTACAACACATACAGCTGTTGTGGAAAATGTGAATTCAGAATACTAGAAGAGAAAAAAGAGGAAGCAGGAACAGAATGAGAGGGAACTTGCTAGTCAAAGAACAGATAATAGGGAAATGGATGAAAGTTCCAGCAGTGCAGAAAAGATCTCTCTACACCAAGTCATTTATGAGCATATACAAGTGGAAGGCCCAAAAACAGGATGCAAGGACTTCCTGTCCCCAGGAAGTAAGCTCTGCTGCTACATCACTTACTGGGTAAAGAAGTAAGTTATTCTGAAAAAGACATCTCAACATCTAGGAGGCCCTGGACTATTTGGCAGGGAAAGAATATGGGGGAGGGCAGGGGTTGAGGGAGGGTAAAGAGGGAGAACATGAAGACACGAACAGGTTGGCACGCAAACCGGTTTGGGGTCAAAACGGAGTAGAGACCACAAGTGAGTGGAGCACACAGCCTGTTCTAGAAGAGAGGAGGCACTTACTGCTTTTTTGTAAGAAAGTCTGAAATACGGACTTGCCATTTTTGAAATTCCCCTATCATGTAACTGACACAAAGAAAGCATGCACATCTGCTAAAGGTATTTTATGATAAAATCAATGACTCTGAGTTCTCATATGAAATTCTAAGAGACCCTAAAGAGCTCAAGGAAATGATTTGCAAATTCAGAGTCACATATGGCTGTTCCAAGCAAGAAGTTAAAATGGTGTGGCTTAAATGAGGAAGGCCCCATTGCTATTCCCTCTAGGAGGAGGAGCCACTCGGCATGACCAGCCAGAGAGGCCTGTTCTTGCATTCTACACAGGAGCTCTGCCTCAGGCGAGAAGCTGGGCAGGTGAATTTCTCTTTCCCATTTTCATCTTTTGCTGCAGCTATTATCTCATTCTTAGTAATTATACTGAAAAAAAAAAAAAGATGATTAGATTTTGAGCCTAACAAATTATCCTCCTCCAATAACATGATGAATAGATAGTAATTTTTTAAAGGGACAGATATCTCAAAAACTAAACTTTATATAAGGCTTAAAAATTCAAATCCACTTAGTTTAAATTACACTGACTCTTTTAGGCCAAACAGCCATGTGAGAAATGAAGAGCAGAAAGGAGTAAGTTCAGCATTTACTTTTTCATTCTTAATTTTGAATTATTTTAATGATCTTTATTTAATACTCACTGTGCAGCTATTACGAAGGGCTTCAAATTTACGCTGGATTTCATCTCTATGTGCCTAAAAGGTAAGAAGTTAATCATCAATTTTTCATACATTAGAACAGGATCCAATAGTTATTGGTCAAATACACTAAAGAGCAATTTCCCTAGTACATAAGCAAGTTGGGAGAGAAGATGTACGTCTTCAATTGCAGAGAATCAACTAGCACAAGTGAAATTAACTTTAAAAAAATCAAATCACTGGTAAACATTTTACTGCATTAGAGACAAGACAAAATTTAGATTATGTAATCCCTATAAAGCATTTAATTTTTATAGGCTGCCCAAAAGACAGAAAAACCCCAAAGTTTGCTTTTTATTTTACTAGACCTGTTATTTTAAAAACACAAATTCCTCTTTTCTCCCTGGGTCCCTCCACTCGACCACCTGCTACCTCCCAAAAATAGGTCCGGTACTCGGCTGGCCTGTCTAAAGCTCTGCTTTATCACCTGGTAAGGTAAGGTAAGCTGCCTTCTTGGACTGATTTCACTCATGAAATACATGAAATACTCATACTGGCCAGGAATTCTTTGGAGGACCTAGGCTTGCTGTTATTTTCTAGCTTTGTGATTCAAATCTGCCAACAGTGGGAAGAACATTAGATTAGGAAGCAGAAAACCTGGGTTCTAGTCTTGCTCCTATACGACACACGTTTCTAAAGTGCCAGGCACTGGGATACAAAGTCAAAAACAAAGCAGTCCTTGGCCTGAGAGAGATGACATTCTCCTGAAGGTGCTACAACATTACATAAGCAAGGACAATGAAAGCCAAGTGGAGGGGGCAGAGAACCCCCTAACAACTGGAGGCCACAGGGAAGGCTTGTGGCATCTAAACTGAATTTGAATCACTTCATCTTAATTCACGGGCTTCTGTTTCCTCACCTGTAAAATGAAAAGTAGAACCAGGTGATATCTGATGGCTCTTTTCTGATCTCAAACTGTACAGTCCTGTACTTGCTTATTTATATTAAGCTTCAAGTGTGTTTTACACAAAGACCGTTCAATTTATCAGTCAACTGTTAACAACTAGTTTGTTTTAACTGTCATGTTAGAGTTCAGATGCCTAATAACATCAATCTATTTCTATTGACACTAATTACAAGACTGTCTAATCATGTCTGATTAACCAATACTAATTCTAATTGAATATGTAATGACAGAATTGATATTTCATCACTACAAGCACAGCAATAGAACCTCTAACTGACAATTTCTTGACTATGAAGTACTAAAGCAAGAATGTTATCACTGATCCTGTAGCTAATCCTGGAAATACTATAACCACTAGGCTTCCATTATTACACGTACACAATATAAAGTGCATACTCAGCCTTCACGAAGCTTAGGCCCTAAAAAAATAAAAGACAGGGACCTATGGAGACTGAGAAATACACAGGAAGTCATTCACTCATTCAATAACGTGTTGAGCATCTACACCCTGCAAGGTCCCATATAATCTGCTATGAGGAAAAAAAAAAAGTCTTACCATCTGGTAGTTTGGAAGAAACTGAATAAACACATAACAGCAACACAAATAAAAGCGTAATACGTGTCATCAGAGAGGCAGCTGATGGCTCCCTGGATAGAGCTGGTCCAGGAATCAGGAATACCCGAGTTCAGATTCAGCCTCAGACTCTTACTAGCTATAGGACCCTGACCAAGTAACTTCACCTCTGTCTGCCTCAGTTTTTTCATCTGTAAAATGTGGAGAATTATAACACCTGCCTCCCTAGATGATTGTGAGGCTCAGATGAGATATTTGTAAAATGTTCTGCAAACTTTAAAGCCCTATATAAATGCTAGCTATTGTTATTGTTATTATTACTACACAGGGTATAGGAGTTAAAAAGTACGGTATACCTTGTTTTATCGTGCTTCACAGATACTGTGTTTTTTACAAACTGAAGATTGGTGGCAACCCTGCTTTGAGTAACTCTACTGGCTCCATTTTTCCAACAGCTTATGCTCACATCATGTCAGTGTCACATTCTGGTAATTCTAGAAATATTTCCAACTTTATTATTATTATTATTATATCTGTCATGGTGATCTGTGATCAGTGATCTTCGGGAATTGCACCCACATAAGAAGGCGAACTTAATAAATGTTAGGTGTGTTCCTACTGTTCCACCAACAGGCTGTTTCCCTGTCTCTCTCCCTGAGACACAACAATATTGAAATTAGGTCAATTAATAACCGTACAGAGGCCTCCAAGTGTTCAAGTGAAAGGAAGAGTCGTACATTTCTTACTTTAAGTCAAAAGCTAGAAATGATTAAGCTTAGTGCGAAAGGCATGTTGGAAGCCAGGATAGGCCAAAAGCTAGGCCACCAACCTGATCAGTCAGAAGCCATGAACCTCAAGGCAAGACCCTACACCAGCATAAAGATTATGACTCACTGAAAGCTCATATGATGGTTAACATATTTTTTTTTTTAGCAACAAGGTATTTTTAATTAAGGCATGTACATTTTTTAAGACACGACACCACTGCACACTTAATATACTACAGGATAGTGTAAACATAACTTTTACATGCATTAGGAAACCAAAAATTTCATATGACTCACTTTATTGGGATATTTGTTTTATTGTGGTAGTCTGGAACCAAACTCACAATATCTCTGAGGTATGCCTGTACTTCAAACAGAGGAGATCAGGAAGGTTTCATGGAGGAGTTGGTATAATCATAATAATAATGATGACAACAACAAAAATAACTGACATTTGTATTGCACTTTTATCATAGGTTTAGTACTAAAAAGATTATTTAATATAAACTCATTTTACAGTTGAGGAAACTGAGGCCCAAAGAGGCTAAATGGCTTGCCCCAGGTGATAGTATCCAAGATGAGACTGAAGACAGGTCTTCTGGCTCAAAACCCAGGGCCTTTCCTCCTGTACCCCACTGCTGATCCTCAAGCCCACCCTGTGAGGTGGGTGTCATGTAGGGTAGACAGGGCGATTGATTTTGATGCAGAGGCCCCGAATATAAGTTTCACCTCAGACACTTTGGAGTTTCATGATCATGGGCAAGTCACTTAATCTCTCATAGCCTCAGTTTCCTCATCTGGAAAAATGGAGTGGATGTCTGAAGAAAGTGATTTACAAACTCGAACGTGCTACATAAATTTGAGTTGTCATCATCCAAAGCTCTAGGTGATAAGGGGATTTCCTCATGTTTTGTGGTCCCATGGAAAGAGTGCTAGACTTGGGAGTCAGAAGGCCCTGGGTTAACCATAACCTCTCTGGCTTTCAATTTCTTCAACTATCTAATGAGGGTACTTAACTAGATGGCCATTAAGTTCCCTTACAGCTTTCAATCTATGACTCATGACCCCCAGCCACCCAGTGGACAAGCCCTGGCACCTTGAGTTACTCTTAACAGCAAGGACACAGCCCCCTGCACTCTCTCTAACAGTCAGAGAAGGGGCTGGGGAAAGGATGAGGGGAAGCCAAAAGAACAAGAGCAAAAATGCAGACGCAGCAAAGTACAAAGTATGTTCGGGGAAGGGCAAACAGTCCCCCCGAGCTCCACGTGAAGGGGCTGTGTGAGAGGTAAAGCTGGAAAGGTAGCTTACAGTCAGCCTTTCCTACACACAGTATTGTCTCAACTGTCTTTCCCATCTGTTTTCATGAGAATATGGGAAGAGGAAGAAAGAAGGCAAGGAGAAAACTGCTAAGAACCTGATGAAAACAGGCAAGATTAGAGCCCAAGCTATCTTCAGAAGCCAGGCCAAGCCCGAATAAAGACCGAAGCTCTCCTTCACTCATTCTTTTACATGGAAAGCACGCACCAAACTCAATCTTCCTATTTCTGTTCCTTGATTTTATTTCTGGGCTCTCACTTTGGCAATTTAATAATTAAATGCAGTTTTTAGAATGATGTCAATCAGCGATGCACATATCAAAAACAGGGATGTGAGTAGGCATTGATTATTGATTTTAATAAGCACCCAGAAGGAAAACTGACGACAGAACCATATGGCAACGATATTTGAGAGAAAAATGATACTAAGCAAAAAGCTTCTAGAAGCTTCTTGACTATGCAGTGACATTCCTTAGGCCAAAACGGCAGACACATCTCCAAATTACATCCAGACAGACCAGGAAGCCAGAACCTCTCCCGTAGGTCTCAGTGTGACCTTATGCCACACATGCACAAAGCCAACTGGCTTCTGTATGCCCTTACAACCTCTGATTAAGAAGATCACAAGGAATCCTTATGGTAAATAAGAAGTCTAGAGATACCACAAACGATCTCCCCCAACAATCAAAACTGCAGAGTTTGCAATTTCAGAGGTTCAGACCCAAAGTATTGAAAAGTTTCCTTATGTGGCTATTTATACACATTTAATTTCACGTACACTTTCTGACTTCATTCAATATTCTACTATTAACAGTGGTTGAATTTTTATGCATAGGGGAAAAAAGGGTGGATCCAAAGGAGAGTGGTAAAGCAGAAAGCAAGAAAAGGCCAACCAAATGGCTTTTGTGACAAGTGACTCCGACACGGTTCTACAGTTTAACTGGGCTCCGTCCAATCAGAAGGCCACATCAGGTAACTTTTTTCTTTAAAACTTCATCTCACGCTGAGAGGTAAATGCCTTGCTTTAGATCTTGCCAGATCCAACTTCATTTTCTTTTCAGAATGTAGCATGCCACAGTAGCTCCCATTTAAACACTATGAACTCTTAAGAGATCATTTTCTACCAAACTGCTTTAATTTGAAACTCATCATATCTGAATTCAATCATTTTCCTCTCCAGAAAAGAATACCTTCTTTAGAATGAATACATTTAACAGAACTGAATCCAAAAAAACAATCCCATGTTACCGATAACCAGGATTAGTGACAATAATTAACAGAGAATAGGCACGAGCACGCATGTACACACACACACAATCTTCAAACTTCAAACAGCAAAATCAAATCAACAAATGAAAAGGTTTTGATTTCTGTGTACCCAATACATAAACCCAACTATTTCACTTAAAGAGCTATATGTACCATCTATCTGGATAGACACTGACCGCACCAAACACTTCCTATTTCACAAGTATCGCAGGCATTCCAACAAAGGAGAACTAAAGCTCTAGATTTCAAGAAGCCCATATCTCTTTTTAAAAATGACAGATTAATTCAACAAGCATTATCAAGCACCCACAGTGCACAAATCACAGTGCTGGCCACTGAGGGGAAACAACTTCAGATAAGGCACAGTCTCTACCCTCAGGGAGCTTACAGTCTGATAAGATGAAAATGACACAAAGGAAACACAACACAAAGGAACCCAGACAAGTACGAGGGAGGGGCCAACAGAGTCTTTCGGAGGATCAAGGGAGGGAAGGTGCTTACTGACTGTGGGACTTCAGGAAAGCTTAATGGAGAAAGCTGCATCTATGGGGACTAAAAGGGTGAGTAACAATCCAAAAGGCATCAGCAGAACAGAGAAGCGATGCCAGGCAGAGAAAGCACTAGGAAGGCCAGGGCAAGGTCCATTCATGGGTTATGTTGAGTCTAGTGTACCTGGAATCCACAGTCTACAGAGTAAAGACACAACCATAATCAGAAAGCACCTATGAAACAGCTGCTTGATGCAGGCCTAGCTCTGGGTCAGGGGCCCAGTTTGAGATCAGACTAAGATGCTTGAGCAAAGGGAACTGGACTTTACCTGGAACAGGGAGCCACTGAAGACTCTGGAACAAAAAAAAGATAAGGCGAGATCTGCTCGCAAGTTACCAATCGATAAACATTAACCAAGGATCCACTTTGCACCAAGCTCAGTGTTAAATGCCAGGGATACAAAGTATTCTTAAAAGTGCAACAATCCCTACTCTTCACAAAATTAAATTTTATCATGAAAGACACCATGTCCATATTTAAGAAGATAAAGAATGAACGTCCTTACAATAAACACAAGGTAGAAAGACAAGGAAGACTTGGGGCACAAACATGAAAGAGCTTTCACGAGGAGATGTGAGAAGCCCACTGTAGCAGCACCAGTGGGCGATGGCAAGGCCGGCACCCACACCAGGGTACTGGCTCCAGGCCAAGCCAGAATCAAGAAGTGACAGGACTGGGCAGATGATGAGACAAAAGGGGAGGAGACTGCTGAGAACAAGACTCCAACAGGGAATACTGAAGAAACGGTGCCAGCCTCAGCAGGAGTCAGCGGGTCTGAGGGGGAGGGGTGGGGAAGGAGGAAGAACTGGGTGCTCAGTTTTGGGCCTGCTGCACATAAGATGCTCGTGAGAGCTACTCCACTGGGAGTAGCATCTAGGCAGCTGGAGCCACTGGCTTGGAGCTGGGAAGAAGTTTGGGCTACAACAGATATTCACAGGTCATCTCTAAGAAAGCAGAAGTTAAGCCATGGTACTGAATGGGACTGCCCATGGAGTTGAGGGAAGGGCCAAAACCATAGGGAGACACCCACCTCAAAGGGCTGGGAAGAGGTTGAGGCCACAACAGAAGAGGCAGAAGAGCAGTCAGATGCTCTTCGTACACTTTGAGGCGGTGATCTCAGCCACCTAAATGAACTGTGGTAGGCTTCCAAAAGCCAGTCCACAGCACCTTCTAACTTCCAGAATTTAATAGTTTAAAGGGCCAATCTACCGGCAGAAAAACAGCTGTGATACACGTGCAATTTTGTATTTATCGTCTCAAAAAGAAACACAGTAAGATATGATGTCTGTGCCTTTCCTTATTCTAACAGGGTGGCAAAAAATGGTCCTATCTTTGCAGGCCCAAGGAAATTTTAGATTTGAGGAATATCACTGCAGCCTAGTATTGTAAGGAGAAAAGGCTATTTAAATGGAAACTCAGTACTAGGCATATAAGTGCTAAATTTTCATTCCTTAATTGATGGCTTATAAATAAATATCTGAAATGATAAATAATAAACAAATTAAATAAATTCTTTTGGCATGAGGGCAAAAATTCAGAAAGAGGGTAATGTCAATAACTTCAAAATACTAGCAACAGAAATACAGGGACTCCATTTAACCAGTAGGAAGGATCTAAGATAAATCACTTTTTAAAAGAAATTCAAAATCTTTCCTATTTGGATCTTGTTAGATGGCAAGACAATATCATGAAGAAGACCCATGATTTTAAAATAAGAATAATTCAGTAAAAGTCAGAGGCTGACCATATAAATAATTAAAAATGATAGAACGGCAACTAATAGTAACAGGAGGGGAGACATAGCATTAATCTACATTTGTACTAAGTGATATCTAGAAAGAATAACATAGTGCAAACCCAAGAAAAATGCCTATTAGTGGAAATAAAAATATAAAATACTATTTTTGAGAAGTAGTGTGTTATAGTGAAAAAAGTACTAGCTTTTGAGTAAGAACACCTGGGTTCCAGTCCCAATCCTAACACACCCTGGCTATAATCATGAGTAAGTCACTAAACCTCTGGAAACCTCACTGAGCCTCTGTTTCTTCATTTTAAAATGGTGATAATACCTGCACTACTCTTACAAAATGCAGGAGTTGGAAGGATCAGAGGACAGATTTAGAGCTGGAAAGGAGCTTAGAGATGATCTCTTCCAACCTCCCATTCCCCTTTCCCCCTTTAAGAGCTGAGAAGGCCAACTCTTAGAAGTTAAGGGGACTCACCCCAGACCACGTGGTTAGCATAAGTGTCAAGAGCTGGGACTGGAACCCAACTCACTTGACTTGAAGTGTCAGAGACTTCCTAACTGCCAGGGTTATTGTGAGGAAGGAGTCTCATAAAACCATAGAACATCATGCAAAGGTAAACTGGAGGAACAGGAGGAGCACACAACAGGTTCAAAATTCCAAAAGAAACTTCCAGCAGCCACAATTAATTATCCAAAGAAAAACCAACCAAGAAAAATATACCAACTCCAATTAAGTGAAGGAGAAGCTCAGGTCAGGTGACTCTCTGGCAGTTAAACAGCCTCTGGAAATCCTTCTTCCCCCCCCACAGCTCTCGCCTCATCAGGTCTCTGCTCTGCCAGGTGTCCCCCAAGCCCCACCGCTCTGGTGTTCTTTGGACCTACCGTGAGGGCCTGGATCTCCTCCTCTGCTTCTGCCGTTGTCTCCTCCAGCTCGGTTTTCGCCTGGCGGAGTTGACTCTCCAAGGCTGTGCGAGCGGACTGCAACGCCGAAAGCTGAGATTCTCTCTCCTGGAGGGAGAGCTGCAGTTCAGTGAGCTGGCGCTTAAGTTCCAACTTCTGTTCTTCGTGCTCTAGACTAACCTAATTAAGAGAAACAGCCAACACTCAAAGGCAGTCAACTGACAAGGAAATGAAGGCAAAACCTGACACAGCTGTGCCCCTCAAACTGGGGTGGCAGAACATTTACTGAGGGCAGCACAAAGGAAAACATTCCACTGGCAAACCTCATTGCTTCTGATAAACCTAGCCGGTGCTAGAACTGTCCTAGGCCTTCATGCTATCCATCACTTAAAATAGTTAAGGGCTTGGAACGGGTCCAAGAGAGAACTACAGAGCAAGAATCTCAAATGCAAATTAGAACAATTACTCATATATTTAAAAAAAATATCTAATAGCTGTATCACACACAGAAAATAGCTACAAATAACTTCCTATTAGTAACAAGGGCACGTTTACAATGTTAACAAAACTTGATTAGAATGACAGACCACTTTCATTTAGTTTAAATATGCCTGCCTTGATTGACTTTTTATTAGGTAATTCCCCATTATCACACTGCAAACTGGTGCTTCTTACCCCCTATTAAAATACCAGAAGGAAAGAGCACAATTAGCATGCCTCTGCTCAGGAGACATGCCCACCCAGAAGGCAGAACTCCCAAAGGCAGGTGACATGCCATGTGATTTCACGGGGGCGGGGGTAGAACTACTTAGGGTAAAAGCAGAACTCAAAGACCAGATATCTCTGCTCTCCAACACTTTCTCTCTGTAAAAGTGCAGGATACTCTGCAGACCATGGGGTAAATCCCTCTTGGGTCAATCTAAACACAAGGACCTTGGCAAAGCTAAAAGATGAAAACCCAAGCAAAAAGCCAATAGTCCAGCTACAACGACAACAAGGGAAACAGCAAATATGGGATGGCTAACTGGTGTTCAATGGATGTACACATTCATTATTCAAAGCCACAACAGATTCAAACATGAATAGATGAATCTAGGCAACATATATAAAACAAGGTGGGAAAGTAGATTTTATTTAGAACAACAAATACTTGGCCCACAGATTTCAAGGTAAACTTGGTTCTTTTAGGTGTATCCTGAAACTCTCTGAGAACTTATATTACACCTAAGTTACAATATAGTGGAGTCTTAGGATTCTTCTGGCTAATGGCAACTCTAAATGAGACAACTCCAGAGTCATGTAACCAGGGAGTAATGATAGCTAAGAATGAGCCATTCATTCTTCAAATGTCAGAAGGAAAGAGTATGAAGATGGAGGAATGTCAACTTAAGATAAGCCACTATGCATGATGATGGTCTGGTATTCTTAGATATAATGGTAACACGTGGCTGGCTGAATGACTACTATTCACCCGTTTTCCTTATTGTTCTATATGCAGCTTGTTGCCAGAGAAAATGAAACAAAATTTTAATTGCGAAGCTGACCTTCCTAGCCAAATCCCCAAAGGAAACACAAGCCCCAAAAGACTGAGGCTTCTTGCTTCTCTCTGGGATATACAGTGAGTCTAAATGCCTAATTCCAAATGAAGCAACAAGTTTCACTGGAAACATCTTTCCATGTATTTGCCCTGTTAAGATGGAGCTAGAGTCCTTGCCTGCCTGGGGGCCACACCATAAGGTAGAAATTTTTGAAAGGGGAAAAGCAAGGGAATGAAACACTATTCAAATGTAAATTTTCTGCAGAGATGTATTTTAACTACTTAGAGCACTAAGTGAGGCCCTATGCTAAAAAGCCTATTGTAGAAACTAATAAAAAAAACAGTCTAGAAAATTAAAGTTAATTATCCTCTGAGGCTTTCAGACCACTTAAAGGCATGATGAAAAACCTCTCTGTCCTCTCTCTTTCCTTTTAAGACTCCATTATAATTGAAGATACTCCCCACTGTGAGCATTTCAGGTTCGGGCCTTGGCCCTACTCTCTTCTCCCTCTGTGCTCTCTTCCTTGAAGCCTCATCCATCTTCAGGGTTTCAACTATTAGCTCGATGCAGATGTTCCCAAACATCTGTCTACAGCCCTTTCTCGTCCTGGAAGTTTAAACTAAGTTCAAGTCCCATATCTCCAACTGCCTCCTGGACATTTCTACTCAGATGGTCCACTTGCCTCAAACTCAGCATGCCTAAAACCAAATTCATCTTCTCTACTCACACCTCATTCCTCAAAATAGAGGGGGGCCCTTATCACCGCTTCTATTATTGGCACAGATATGCCCGCAAGCCACCCAAAGCTCAAAAATTTGGAATCGTCATTCATTCCTCCCCTCTCCCTTCTCCATGCTGTTAAGCTTAGTTAATTGGGAGGTTAAATTTCTCCTCGGCACGTAAGATTAATGAAAAATGAATCTTCATTTGTACCTCCCTCAGCCTTGTCTCCAGCTCTAAAAGGCGACTCTTGTCACTATGGTCTTGATGACTGATTTTTTCCAACTGTTCTTCCAGCTTTCGATTCTGAGCCTCCAATTTCCCAGCTTGTGTTTCCAGATAAAACTTCTGTTGTCTGAGTTCTGAAATCATCTCTTCTTGGGCTTTCCTGATGGGGGTGGAGGGAATCAAACAAAAATACATATTCACTTGCAGACCATCATTTGATTTAGAAAGTACATACAAAAATAGTATAACAGAAACTTCTCAATAAACGGACCATGATCACTCCCAAATTAGCTTATCCTATTTCTGCCTCAAATATACATCACGGAAAAATCTGGTTAACTTTTAGTCATCTTTGCTCAGGTCCCCACACCTGTGGTATTAATCATGCATGTGGGAGATGATAGAAATATTACCATTTAACTCCTTTTCCAATTGTGAAGTCTATCTAAGCAGGCAGAAAATTAACGTAATAAGAGATTAACTTTATGACCTCAGGCAATCACTCACCTAAACAAGGTCCCAAAAGAGAAACAGGAAGTAGAACCTATTTGGAAAAAGTATCCTTTTTCCTTCCATTTCCCTCAGATATGCACTACTCCTTTCTCTAAACTGCATAGAAGTAACAGACCAGAAAGATTGAAAGGCTAAGAACTGTCTTACTGTGACCTAAAGTATCTAGACGGGTAAGAAGAGCCACAGAGGGACTTGTAGACAAAACCTATGACCTATGGTTCTGTTTTAAATGAACAAGTTTAAGGGAAGACACACAGAACTATCCTGAAACTCAATCTTCCTTGATGGCCCATTTTTTAAATTACTTTTCTGCAATAGACTCGACTTCCAAATTTTCCAGAGGCCAGAAAAACAAAACAGAAGCTACCCATTCACACAACATTCATTTCTGAACAGTTAGAAAAGCAAGTCACTTTAACAAGAAATGGAGATACACAAAAGCAAAGCTATAAATAGTTACATTAAAGAGGCTGCTGACAATGCCTGGAGAGACTAAAATATCCTTTTTTATCCTGCAATGTCAAAGTAAGTTGAAGTATTTAAGAAAGCTGGGCTGAGGGAGAGTTAGGGCAGGCATCACAGAATTTCTAAGTTGGAAGAGACCTCAGAAGCAACCTAGTTCAAATGGAACCCTTCCAGAACATGCTCAATCCAGCAGGGAGGGGAACCAACACTCTCTAAAGGAGTCCATTCCACTTCTTAGAAGTTTTCCTACACACGAAGCCTCCATCTGGCACTTTCTCATTTCTCCCCATGGCTCCTAGCCTCCTGCCCTTGGACCAACAAGTAAGCCCCCTTTCCTGGGCCAGCCTCGAGGAGCACTAGCATGTCCCACTCCCCGTTTTCTGAGATCCTTTGGTCAGGCTTCACACGGCATGAACACCAGGCCCTTCCCAATCCCAGCTGCGTCCTCTCCCATCGGACTAGACTCCTTGGCAGCCACGTTACCAATTCACACCGAACTCTCGGCCCAAAGCCCTGGGTTTTCTTTTCAGACAACCAGCTGCGTCAGCACACCTCCCTCAACATGGACTTGCAAAGCCAACTTTTATCTCTATTAAATTTCATCTTAAAGACTATCAAAATCTCACAGACGCTGACTTTGTTCTCCCGCATGTTAGTTACCTCCCTCACCTGAAAACTTATTCCACAGGTGTTTTTATCCAAGCCTGACAAAAATAACAAAAGGCACTAGACCAAGCTTAGATTCCTGGGTCATTCCACAGGAGACTTCCTTCCAAGGCAATGTCAAACCGTCAAGGGGAAAGGAAAGAAATGGTTGACTTGTGACACTTAGATGAGACAAATATCATACAAAAAGAAAGGTTCTGAGCTCTGAGCAAAGGCGTGGGCGTTTTACAAATCAAAGAAATTGAATTTGTCACAATTTCCCAAAGAGAAAGTATGTGTGCTTGGCACTTGGAAAGTGAACCCTAGAATGCAACCAAGAAAGCAGCTAGAATTCTGGAGACTTACATGTTCCTCTGGGTAAAAAGGCTGCTATTTGCTGCCAGTTTATTTGCTTCTGACAATTCCACTATCCTCTGTTCCAGAGACCTGATCTTGGAATCCATAGCATTGATCATCTGAAACACAATACTCTTTTAGACAACATACATCTGAAAATGCCATCAGTTAAGTCAAGATTCACGGTCAGTGTCAAAATCACATCTAGAATATTTATAATCTGGCCACAAGCAAAGACTGACTCAAAAAGCCTTTAACATGTCGGTCATGAAAGTCATGGACACAAGCTGATATCCAGTCTCTCTTCTAAGACAGAAACAAAAATAAGTAGCTTCCATAAAATGTTTTGAAGGACCACAATTAAATGGGTACATATTTACATGTCATTAGCTAATTTGTGGGATTCATTCTCAGGAATTTCTAAGTGAAAAGTATGACATTTCTTCATTTGTCACTCCACCATCGTCTCCGACTGCCTACAACAAACGAACATAACTAAGAAAGGGAAGACACACAAAGCTAAGGAAGAAGAAAATGCGATTACAAAAAACCCTACAAAGCTTCTCACATCACCCTTGGGAAGATGCTGTCTGAGAGGGTGACATAACATCACATATCATGGTTTTTTCAGTGTGATTTTCATGTGAGGAAGTCATGTTCTGTGCTGCTCCCTGGCAAACACCTAGTACAATAATGATGCTCAAAATCTAAGCAACAAGCCCAGAAACGGAGTCTTCTCAAGTATGTGGCCCCCAGAGCACGGTGAGAAACGACTGTTCAAAGTACTTTTCAGTTTGGTCCCACCTACCGCCTTCTGCTCACTGAGAATCTTGCTTTTCTCATGAGCTTCTTCCTCGTGTCTTTGCATCATATTCTCAAGGGTTTCCTTGTCAGCGAGATCTTTCTTTATCTGATTGTCCAGCACCTAAAGGAAACAGAAGAGTAAATGAATGACCTAAGGACCCCAGCTTAGGAGAAAGACTAAACAGGGGCACTTGGGAGGGCTGCTGCCCAGGAAAAGACGAGGAGAAGAGGAGGAGCAGGGAAGAAGTCAAGGCCTCTAAACTTTGGGGCAAGCAGTAAACACTGACGGGGCTGAGGCAATTATCAGGGGGTAGTTTACAAATAATACCATTCACTGGAAAAATAATTGAGTAGAGTCATTCTAAGTACCTATTTAAAACTAGTTGCCTCACAGTCTACAGAGGCAAACTGCACAGGTCAGCTAAAGAGTGTTTAGGGGAAGGCAGAAGAAAAGAACTTGCTCTCTAACTGGTCCTAGAAAAAGCTCTTATGGCCAGCAGATGCTGCCTGTGATTTGGAGCAGCAGAATAGCATACTTCATACCAATGAGCAGGTATCGCACTTCTCTTCTCAAGAAACACCCTCTAATCCTAGCCACCTTTAGGATGAGTCTGCTCGCAATTAAGTCTCAATTTATACGAACTGTGTTCTTCACTGATGAACAAAGTAGAATCTGGGATGTGGAATCAGCCTTCTGTGGTTGACTGCTAAGCCTGAGGACAGAGGGCAGAATTCTAAAGTGACAGCAGACAGGTTCACATCCCAGACCAATAAATAAGGTAAAACACTATCTATGATGGCCGACTCAAGTCGAATTAAATAGACACTAGAAAAGGAATGAAGTGAGCCACTGTCCTCCACACATCTGCTCCGGTCTAGCTAAAGAAGAAACATATCTCTGAGAAAAGGAAGCTGATCATTCCAATGGAAGCATCTTTTGCTGCCACGAGGTAACAAAAGGTGACAGTGTCACCATCTACCAGCTGGACTGAATGTCCTAGGAAGTACATGGTCCTCCCTGCTGACAAAAATAAAAATGAGAAAAAAAGACTTCGAGCTCTTTGAAAGCTACCCCATGCTTCTCATCCATGTAGATTAACCTAAATGATACCAACCACATCAAGAGGGACAGTAGGGTGTTGAAAATAAAGCTGAAAGAATTGGGGACACAGGCAGGGTTCATGTCTTTTCTATCAACTCTGTTAAAAAGGAGAACTAGTTTCACCAATCACAAGGACATCTTGCTAAAAAAGACTAGACAGCTGGAATGGGGCTCATCTAATGAAGAAAGGAAAGAACACATTTCAAAGAACTGATGTCATGAGAAGGGCTTTAAACTAGGGCCAGTGGATAAAAAATATTAGCAGTTGGTATGAACACAAAAGGTAAAGACAGGGCCATGGGGAGACAGAAGGAACACATTGGGACAGGCTGCCAGATCTCTTGGATGCTTATGTCACAATTCTAAAATTATGACAAGAGACATACTGAGAGAGGGAGAAAATAGAGAGTTTTTGTATATGATCAAAACTATGACCTAAATGGCATTACAGAATCCTAGTGGGACGATTCAAGGCCATAACAGCAGTAATAAGACATAACAATTATTCAAAAGAGACAAGCTGGGGAAGGAGGGAACATGGAAGCAGGGAGGAAGAATAGGAAGGTTAAAGCTCTTGTTATCCAGAACTTATGTATTTGTAGTCAGGTCTGACAAGGTAAAAATGATGGACCTATAGTAAGCTTTAAGGGAGAAAAACAAGGAGAATGTTCAGAGACAAAGTCTACCACAGATATCTAAGTAAAGATGAGGTAGCTTTTTCTAAACAGGTCTGTAACATAAATAGGAGAGATTTTCATAACCCAGCCAGTCAATGTAAAGAAAACTCCAAGTCACAGGCTGCCCCGTAAGTTGGAAACATCTTCTGTTACATGAGAGAAATTTAGGGACCAACAGGTTACAATCAGAGTTGAAAGGGTTTGGTGTCCACAGTTTATAGGTTACAGCAGGGAAATCAATACAAGCTCCTCTTCCTCTGGCCTTCTTCTCTTTTTTTTTCCCCCGGTGCTTTAACTGGGAAAAAAAAAAACAAACCAGAAGGGAGGCCAAGGGCAGGAGCAGAAGGTGAGGACAGGACTTAATTCCAAAAAGATTGATGGCTCTTCAAGTACACTGGCCAAATCACTAATGGCACCAGAGAAAACTGAAGAGCCTCTTTCAAAGTCTGATTTCCAAAGAAGATAGGAGGTGGTAAAGTTTCCATCTCAAAAATGATAAGGTAAAATTCAGTTAATCATGAAATCGTGTGTCTGACTTCCAAATCCCCACATGGATAACCCCGAAAACCTCCCACAACAGACTAAGGATAGAGTTTACTCAGAGCTCCGCAAGGCTCCGAAAAAGAGCCCCACAAGTGACCAGGGGACAGAAAGAGTCTGAGACGTGTACAAAGCGTGTGCTCAAGGAGATCAGAAAGTCTCTTTACTTTAATTTTTTCCTCGTAGAGTTGCTCTTTTTGTTTCAGATGCACCTCTAGGTGCTGGGCTGAGACCTGAGCCTCCCGGTGCTTCTCCTCCAGCTCCTGAATACAAAAGAGTAAAAGGTCAGGTGTGCAGAGGGAATAAATAATATACCCAAAGTATGTTTAGCATACATGGTTAACATAACTTTGGTATATGCAGTATCATTAACAGGCATCTCCTTCCCCCTCAGAAGGAAAGGAAAACCAGCATTACGCCTAGGATGTAATAAGGGGTTTGGTATTTGAAGGTCTGACATATTCGTTCTCTCTCTCCCTCCCTCCTTCCTCTCTCTCTCTCTCTCTCTTTCTCTCCCTTATTATCTCTCTGTCTCTTTCTCTCTCTTTTGTTGGTTCTAAGGGCAATGTTAGGAAAGCTTTAGTGTAACTAAGCCAGCTTCTGTCTCTATCACTCCCCACTCTACTACAATGTGAACCCATCAGGCAAATAAAGATAGAAAATTTCCTGGAATTATATTCCATTCCTGGAATGGAATTATATTCCATCTTGGTCCATTTCTCTCTGCAAGGTGCTAAGACAGCCTTAAAAGGGAAAAGTAGTAACTTTCATTCTGATAAAAAAAAAGTTATCACTATTTTTCTATACTTAAAAACCCAGCATACTACTCAGGAACTCAGCTAGAAGAAGTTTAGATATTTAAAAAACTAAAATATCATAATAAAAATAGGCATATGGATATTGATACATGCAAATCTGTAGAGAAAATATCATATGAAAAAAACACAAAATGGTGCTGATTGCAATTAAGTAAAAATTTACACATGTACATTAAAGGTCAGACATGAACAATGGAGTTATGGAAATTATTTAATGTTCACTTTGTTTTTCAGTAAAGTTACATTTTAATATTCCAAAACTTTACTTTTATAAGCGCTTACTCATGTTCATGGGGGGAGGGGCTTTAAAAATGTGCTGTTCAGGTTTCAAGATTAAACTATTCTGCGTGCCGGTCATTTAGCAACCCTCTCATTCATTTGCTAACACCAGGATGGTCTTTAAACAAAGTGGCATCCTGTTGAGAGGCACATGCTCCGAATGCAAAGCTATCTCCCATACACTAGAATTCCCAGAAGTCTGGGCCCATGAGTCAGTGAAGGCCGCCATCAAAATCATTACATAAAACCTGCGCCTGATTCTACAGAGGGCTGCTAGGCAACTTTTCTCTGAAGTGAAGGGCAAGGAAACTCGCAAGATTATATACAATCATAGAAAAGAAAATGCTTGAAAGTCACGTGCACAAAAATTACTAAAATTCTGAGATTTAAGTTTTTTGAATTCTAATCAGGCAACATGCACAGTATAGTTTGAAAGAGAGAACTTCTTGAAAAGTTGAGTATAAAAAAACTGACCAGAGGCATACTGTGATCTAGTGGAAGTCTCAACGATGCAGAGACAAAGGACCTAGATTTGAATTCCATGCCTGCTACTCGTCAGCTACAGTCGGCACCTTGGGCAAGTCACTTAACCCTCTAGGGCTTTCCTGTGCTCATCTACAGAATGAGGCTGGTGGACTAAATAAACCCTGCAGTCCCTTTCATCCCTGATCTAGCCTATGTAGTGACCTTTTTTTACCTGCCACTTACAGAAAGGGCTTTAGCACAATGCCCGGCACTGAAGCACTTTCTTAATAAATGTTTATTGAATGAATGAAACTTTAAAATCTGCAAAGCCCCTTACAGACAGGATCTCACTGGGGTCTCACAATAACCCACGTGGAGGAGACACAAAATACATGCCACCTTTTACTCTCCCCTACTCCAGTGGAACTATGATCTCATCTAGGTGGGCACATTCTTTTTAATGATGGAGATCACAATCTATCTAAGCCTGTCCATCCTACGCAGCTCTTGTCTGGGCCTTTCCATCAGTTCACCAACATGCTGGGGGCCTTGCTCTCAGGCTTCAGACATTTCATACCAATGGACCCCTGTCCTTCAGTCATGCCTTCCTCTTGCTATAGGACCTGCCCATATTTGTTTCCAGTATTCCACCTATTTCTCTGGTGAAACCCATCACCCTGCTTCTCCTGTGTAATTCCATATCTACAACAGGCGACAGATGGCTCATAGACACCATAGTACCCCTTCTTTGGGTGATCCTAAAATTCAAATCCCTGTCAATGGAAAGGCCCTCCAGATATTCCTATCTGCAAATAACATTGTGTTGATTTCATCAAGTCCTAGAACATTACAGAGCCTCCTAAATCAGAGATATAATCAATCCGAAAAGTTCAATCTAACTATCCACAAAGGAAAAATCGAGTGGATGAAGAATATTCTGTTGTTCAGGCTAGGATGTGCATCTAGAGAGACATTTAGGAGCTCCTAGCTCTCAGACAGTCATTGCCTGTGGCCAGTGGGCTAAGCCTGGCCCAGAACAGGCTGGTTTTCATCTGGAGACTGCACAGTTCTTTTCATGAACTCAAGTTTCTCTCTGAAACAAAGGCCTATCTTTCTAGCACCTAAACTTTTCCACTCAGTCACCTTGTTGGATGCCATGCAATATCATATCCTCTACGAATCATCTTTATTTCACAGATAAGAAAATCAGGCTCTGAGGGATAAGGAACTTGCTCATGGTGACACAGTATTGAGAGTCAGATTTGAACACAGATCTTTACTTATGCAGTATGGTAGTCTATCTATCTACTATGCCACACTGATTCTTTTGGCAAAAGACAAGAGTCTCATGTAATTGGAATTATTTCCAAATTTATTTGTTCTGAAAGTTTGGATTCTTGTGATCAGGTATTTTAGAGCAAAGTGAACCTCAAGTTGAGAAGATTTCCAAAGCACCATTATTATAAAACTTTTAATCAACTTCTCCTATCTGTATCATAGATACCATATAGATCAAAAACATTGTCAAAACGGACCCTCCCATTACTGTACAGACAACACAGAAGTACTTAGGTACATGAAAATTTTGTTGCTATTAATTCATAAAGGTTAAGAAAATAACCAGTAAGGAAAAAAAATAATCCCCACAGCCCGTTTCCAATTTTACTAGGTAAAAGCATGGCAACAACAAAAAAATAAAATAAAATAAAATAAAAAAATTGAACTAAAAAAAAATGGGGCAGCTAGGTGGCGCAGTGGATAGAACTCCAGCCTTGGAGTCAGGAGGACCTGAGTTCAAATCCAGCCTCAGACACTTGCCATTTACTAGCTGTGTGACCCTGGGCAAGTCACTTAACCCAGATTGCCTCACCAAAAAGAAAAAACACAAAACACTAAAAGCATGGTAACAGAGCCCCAGCAAAAACTCAAATTTCTGAATCAGAACCCTAACACTCTGTTTCCTGCTAGTGAGTCTGGAAGCAAACACCACCACCACCCCACCTGCACTCCCCAAGGTTTCAGGAGCACTGACTCCCAAGTTTCAGTTTCAAAAGGAGATTAACTTACTTACTACAAACATCAGACTCCTAGAAATAGGAATAGTCTAAAATCTGCTTTCTTTGCATGCAGCTTTTTTTTCTTTAGTGTATATGTTTTAGAGTATGTTCATTCATTTGTTCAGCCCTTAAGGACAAATACAACTGCTATCCACCAAGATGTCCTAAACTATTAAAAATAGCACCCTAAATCATTTGTCAATTTAATACCTAAACACTGCTTTGGTAAAAGGATAGGAAAACACAAAGTGTCCTCTCACTTCAGTTTGCTTAGCACCAAAGACAAAGCTGACCCATTTCTTAAGGTCCATCAATCCCAGCTCAGGGCAGCATTCCAATAACCTTTGGGAAGGGGTGTGTCACGCACATACACATGCATACACATACATACTTTTTCTAACTTTGAAAATTCTGAAGTGATTATGAAATTGAGAAGACTGAAAATGTCAGGTAGTCTTAAATCCCAGTCACTGCTATTGACACACAATATTAAAACAGAAAGAGGTTATGACTGGCCCACAGTTTTTCCATCTGTGCAGTGGAATAACATGGCTTATTTCAAAGGTAGTTGCTCTTTCGCAAAGAACGAATTATCAACAAAGATTATATCATTAAGTCTTTCCTATCTTTGTTATTATTTCTGGATTAGGGGTTAGGTAGAATGTTTGAGGAACATTTAAAAACATTCATCTGCCTCGCCACCAGGCAGGGGCAGACGCTCACAATATCTGTAAATACCACCAGTGGTTTCGCCCATTAGGTTAATTTGGTCATCAGTGCCTAAAACAGAATCATTATGGTTATTAACCTAAAAAAAGACTTGCTAGAGCTAAAGAAGTTTAAAAAAATCCTAACTGTAGCAGAGAAAGTGAGTGGGCGAGTATGGATCTATGACAAATACTACTCTAAGAAAAACAATTTTGGATGACTAATTTATTCTCTCCGCTACAGGCAACAATCTGGAATTCACTTAAAAGCCTAAATCCTTCAAGCTTTTCAGGACGGGTCCTAAAGAGTTAATAACCGCACAAAGCTATGTTGATAATATCTGGTTTATGCTTTTATAAAGTTTACAGGAAATGACATCTCGTACAGAAAATGTCAGACAGGGCACTTATATCAAAGATCAAAGCGCGCTTGTCAGCATTCAGTTTTCCACCTCATTCTTGGATAAGAGGTACCCACAAATGTTCGCTTGTAGTTATTCGGTGACTTCTTTTCCCAGGTGAAGAATGCGTATGCCCTCCTCCTTTTCCCTACAACCTCTGACCCATTATTTTCTCCACCTGGATTCTTGCTCACCAGAATTTTATCAGCCATCTGTTGAATCTGTTGTGACTTAGTCTGGATATCATCCTTCAGTCTGTTTTCTCTGCGTTCCACAGTCTCTAGCCTCTTTACTTGGTTCTCCAGAGAATGGCGTCGTTCCTATAGATTATAATCAACCAACAAATATTTATTGAGCAGCTCAATGGGCCAAGCACTGCATTAAGTGGCGTGAAGAATTACAAAAGAAATCTGTGACATGGTCCTTGACCTCAAAATATTTACAGTCTAACTGGGGAGACGAGACATGAAACAACCGCAAACAAAACGATACACAATGAAGTGCTAAGTTACATGGTACAAATCCTAAGTGTTTTACGATTTTAAAGGTGAGAGGGTGAACAGTAAAGGGCTGCTTCATGGAAAAGCAGGCTGTGGAATGAGTAGGATTGGGATAAAAGGAAAAGAGGAGAGGAGAGGGTAGTCATCCCACATAAAAGGAAAAACATGAGCTTTAAAACGGAGATGACAACGAGCAAGGCACATTCATGAAACAATGAGGAAATCAACCTGTCTAGACTACAGGCTGTGCATGAGGAGTGGTACAGAATAAAACTGAATCAACAGAATGACGCGAGAACAGAGGCCTTAAAGGGGAGACAGAGAACTTTAAGTTTAATGTGCAGGAAAACATTCAAGGCTTCTGAGCTGGTAAATGATGTGATGTAAACAATGTCTTTATATCCTCAGTACTTAGCACAATGCCTGGCACACAGGACTCGTTTCACAAATGCTTTTGACTGACTGACCACTTTGGTGTGGCACACAGGCTACACTGGGAGGGAAAGGTATGGAGCTAAAAAGGCTTACCAAGAGCTTGCTGCAGGCATCTAAGTAGAAGGTCATGAGGACCTAGATTAGGGTGGTGGCAAAGGGACTGGAGAGATATTGTAAAGAAAAAAATCAAGAAACCTTGATGACTGACGGAATGAAAGCCAAGTATGAGTTAAAGACAGAACCAAAGTATCAAGCCTAAAGTTAAGTGACTGGGAGAATTAGAAAAGAAGGAACTGAAAGGGAAGGTTGACTTGAGGAAGATGACCACTTCAAGATTGACCAAGATGATCAATTCTCTGGAGGTCTGCTGGGACTTATGGTCCAATGAGTGGTTTCAGACATGGAAGCAGAGTCTGGGTGGTAAGAGAACAGAACTAAAGATAAGGATTTCATCGTCATAAGGATAGAGATGACAGTTAAAGCCATGAGAAAAGGCGGACTCTCTGAGCTAGAGAACACGGAAAGAAGAACAGGACTGACTGACACTGACCTACACAAAGAGGAGTTCTTACAGATCACGGAGGGGATCAGAGAACAATCAGTGAAAACGAGAACATCACAACCGAAAACCATCCTACTTCAAGCTGCGTCCTAAAGCCCCTCAGGTCCTAAAACGATTCCCAGGCCTTTCAAAGTAAGTGTGGCGGAGAGCGGCAGCGGATGGTCAAGGTTGGCACTGCCCCCTTTCTCGGTGCTCCAACAGCTCGTCATCACTCCCTGCAGGCCAAAGCGGCCCACTCACCTCCGCCTCAAACAACTTCTTTTTCATGCCTTCAGAGGAGTCTTCCCTGTTCTGCAGCTTCTCCAGCTCCCTCTCAGCTCTCTCCTTGGCCTGACGAATATTCTGAAGCAGCTCAGTCGCCTCGGAGCTGGCTTTCACAGCCTAAAGGAATACAAACAACTCCTGCTTATGTGGCACTTTACTGTACAGACTACTTTCATCACAGCCTTAGAAGGCAGACAGTACAAATATTATTATTCCCATTTTATAAATGAGAAAACAGAGGCTCAGTGAGGTTAAGGCTCTTGCCCACAGTCACAAAGCCCAGAAGGAACCAAGCACAGTCTTGAATCCAAGTTCTTGAACTACAAATCCAACACTCTTGATTTCAGCTACATGCCAGGGGCAGGGACATGACCTGAGACGTTATCAGTACAGTAACTCCCAGACAAAGAACCAACCCAACCCAACCCCGCCCCCACCACCACCACCAAGGCAGGTCAGCAGCTTGTCTTCAACTTAGAATCTTAGAAAGCTACCTGGGGACAAGAAGAAGTTAAATGACTTGCCCAGAGTCACACAACTACATGGGTTAAAGATGGAACTTAAACCACATCTTCCTGACACCAAGGCCAGTTCTGCCCACTAAGTCGCACATCAATACTGCAGACTGCCCAAAAATGCCGAAAAGTAAACCTCTCCTGGGTAGAAGAGCCATAGTGGCCATACTAATTCACATGGATTAAACAATGGTCATCCTTCTTGGAATAATGTGTAGTAAACTGTTAATTATCCTAGAAAATAAATCAATAGGATACCACCATATTGAATCTCACAATCTCTATTTAATTTTGTTTTTTTGATGCAGAACTTTAAAAGAATTTGTCATTTCTATCTAGAACAGGGGTTCTTGTGAACTTGTTTTAAATATGTTAATAATGCTATATTTCAAGAGAATTGGCTTCCCTTGTAATCTTATATATTTTACTTTATGCATTTAAAAACATGATTTGGAGAAGGGGTGCCAGAAGGGTCCGTGACACAAAAATGGTAAAGAACCCTGATCGAGATAAGGACAGATAAATAGTGAAAGCGCTTGCTTGAATGAAGGCAAAGAACATGCTCATTAGAATCCAGAATGACCAGGAGTTGGCATTTACCCAACCAAGCACATTGACACATTCAACAACCATAATCTTAAAATCTTAGAACTGGGTTTCACTCCAACCTTTTAAAATAACACTTCCAACGATCGACCGAGAGACAGAAAATCATTAGATTTGTCTTGCTACCACTGGTATGTTGTAAACTTCCTGGACCACCATTCCTTCCCCAATGAAAACATAAGCTTGCTATGGTTCTCTACTGTGGAGGTTCACCAGGTCACATTGGCCTCTGGGAGATGAGTTTCTGATTTTAAAGTGCACTGGAAAACTGACTAGGTCACAACCAAAGCACTCTTCATTTCTGGGCCTACGAAACAGTGAATCCATCCCGAGGCCTCCAAGTTTCTGAAGTATTGTAACTAGAATTTCTACTTGCTGGTCTAACACACACTGCTGACGGGCCTCACGAGGTGAAACACAGCCAGAGCTCTGATTTTCCACCAAGAGCTCGCTCCTCCTCCGTGTCCTGCCTAATTCTATTTCTTTCATCTTCAGTGCCCCAGGACTGAAGGGGAAGAAGCACAGGCAGTCAGCGCCGCCTCACCTTAGCCAGCTTCTCTTGTAACTCCTGGATTTTGAGCTGCTGTTCAGCATTCACCTATAATCACAAGCACAGGAAATGAAACCAAAAGCAAACAGATAGTGAGTTCCATAACATACTATGTATTTCAGTCCTGGTTCCTTGAAGCCACTTTAGGATGTAAGGGTGGGGTTGGCTTTTCTAGGAACTTACTAGCAGAGAAAAAAAGCACAATGGCATATCAGATAAGTCGGTAGATATGACAGTTCTGCCTTACTGATGTCTCCTTTCTGCCCAGCCCATCAACATATCAAGCACTTCCAATACTAACTATACGGGAATGGCACAAGGGGAGAATGTTTTTTAACACTCCAAGTTTTAAGAGAGAAGTGTCATTTACATTTCCTAAAGTATTTGTGGTTATTTGTCACAAGAGTCTATCGGTCCTTACACGCTGAATTAATTTCATTTCTACCTAGATATTGCTACAGTTAAAAAACAATTAAACTCGAGAGTCTGACCCCCAGAATGCCATACCAATAAGAGATATGCTTCCTATTCATTCCAAAATTCTCCTAGATTAATGAATCTCTAGTGGTATTAACAAACTAATAATAACTGGTGACATCAAGAATGAAAAATACCTTTTCCAGTTTGGAATATAGTTCTCCTACTTCAACCTTCCCTTGATCTTTAGCCTGTAGTTAAATAAAATAAAATAAAATGAGTTCCAGGAGAGAACATTTTAAAAATTTAAGTTCTTTTAAGGAATGCTACCTCTGTTTTTACTCTAATAAAAATCAAAAGATTTCCAAGACCTCCTGTTATCTCCCAAACTTCATCACTAGAAAAAAAAAATCACTTTCACGCTATTTCTAAAACCATAAAAGTATTCAGAAGCGTTTCTCATTTACCAATCCCACCCTAGAAATATTTAAAAAACTGACAGGTTAAGTTCCCTACTGAGGAAGGCCTTAGCTACCTTCATCAATTTATTCTGACACTCTGTGGCTTTGCGTTTGAATTCTTCAGCTGCTAACCGAGACTCTCTCAACTCGGATTCATAGAGATCACTACGTCTTCTGGCAGAGACAAGATCCTCCTCCAACTGATTCATCATCAACCTCATCTCTTCTACTTGGGCTTGATACTCCTTAAGAAGAGAAAAAGAAAACATTGGTACCTAATAAAATACAAAAAGTGGGAAAATGGAACACCGTTTGGTAGAACACCAAATGGTCGCTCTTCTACAGAAATCACAGGAAAGACAGATAAAGAGAATGGCAAGAGACAGAAATGGAGAGGCAGAGAAAGAGATGGCTAAAAGTGAGCACACAGACACACAGAGAAAAGACAAACATATAATAATCATATAAATCTTCAGAATGATTTATGAAAGAATAGATAATGTTAATAAGACCACTGAAAGAGAAGGTAGGTGACATTAGTAAGATACCTCAAATGAATAGTTTACAATCCAAAGAGAACTCCCAGGAATTGTTTTCACATGGTACAACTGAAAGCATCTATTGCTTAAACATTTAGAATAAACTACTGGTTACACAGAACCATCTTCCAAGGGCAACCACTTCTACAGATTCTATAGAATTTTGTGCCTCTACAAATACAGTACACTTCCTTAAAATGAATCTCTTCTACTGCATGAAGGATTTATTTAAAGTCTCGGTGGAAAAAGCTGGAGGAGAAGCAAGTTATGTCAATTTCTCAACGCTGATTCCTTTGGGCCCAAACTCAAAGATGAATGAAGAACTTAGCATTATACCTGAAATCGTATTTATTCTGGAAAATAGAAAAATTTAGAAAATGTTAGATCTACTCAAAATGCTCTGTGATTAAACAGTTCCCTAAAGTAAATGTTTTAGAGTAATCCAAATGATGAAACTTTTTTTAAAACTTGAAAAAAGTGAATTTCTGAACCCCAAGGTTTCAAAATGAAATCAAATGAAACAGTAGGAGATAAAAGAATCCCAAGTAAACTACAAAAATACTTCCTAGAGAAATTTAAACTAAGTACTATAGATATGAAAAAGGATTTCTCTAGGTAAAAGAACAAATTGTAAGTAAATGTGGGTGAGATCAGGATAGGGAAACCAGTCAACTCTCTTTGTTGTTGTTGTTGTATAGTTGTTTCAGATGTGCAACTTCCTGTAACTTTGTAGATGGTCTTCTTAAGTTGCTCCAAAAAAATTCTTCTTCTATGGACAACCAGTGATCTGTGTCTCCAAGCTTAGCTTAGCCTGGTCCTCAGTCAATTAACCTCCAGTCTGTTCCTGGAATCTGAAGCCTATCCAGCTCAGTAGCACCTACCAGAACCAAGTCTTTGGGAAGTCAAAGGTACCTCCCCACTGCAAGAGAGCTCTAGAGTAATAGTTTAGTGGAAGAAGGGAAAGAGAGAAAGAGGAAAAGAAGGAGAGAGAGGGAAGAAGGGAAGGATACAAAGACAGAGTGAGTGAGTGAGTGAGTGTGTGAGTGTGTGTGTTTCTTCTACTAAAAGTAAAAAACAGAAGTCAGGAATAGTGAGATGAAGCGCTCTGCTCCCCAAAAAGCAAAGCAGTTCTACCTGTTCTTTGATCTCTTGCAGCTTTCGACTCTGCTCTCGGATATCATGGAGGAGCTGCAATGCCTTGTCGTCCTCCTGGGACACTTCCATCCGTGCCTGCTCCAAACTTCGCTTTAGGCTCTGCGGAAAGCAAAACGTTTAACACATGGACCTTTTCGACCCTTCTGTCTGAAATGTCTAATTAAGAGAACACCGAGCTGCTTCAAAGACACCGAGACAGACTCAGGTGACAGATCCAAGTTTACAAGTTCCCATTTGTTACAGCTGAATTCCAGTTTTCTATCTGCACACACCAACTGTCATTAGTTCCCAGAGACCCCCCCCACCTCAACGTATTACTCTGCAGAGGAAATGAAACCACGGCTTGGTACCACTGACCAATCATACCACTTCGCTTCCTCGTGTACTTGGGACTTAAAACCCACAGTCATTCAATCACCACAAACACAGTATTGTTGAGGGACGTCAGTCAGAATCTTTTTCAAATCAATTACTTCTGCTCTTCTCAAGAGTCCCAAAGGAGCAATGGCTTCATTCCTTGCTCGTTCTTAAGACCTTAACTAGTCTATTTCTACCTCCTGTCTTATGTTTCCTGCACACCTTTTATCCAGAAGGTTCCCACAATGCTTTAGAGGCATTGAAATATCTATCTGTATGAATAACTTCACCCACTGCTGAAACGCAGCCAATCCTGGAATGGAAACACAGCAGTTACTCTTAATCGGCAATGCTATATAGATTTCCTCTCCCTTATAAAAACTAAAGACTATGTGTGATTCAAGTCACAAAGAATGTTTTAGTTAGGCGAATCATAAACACCTGGATGGAGACAATGGAGAAGACAGTCACAGGATCTTTAATGATAAGCAACTTGAGACCTTAAAATACCATCCTGGGAACACCAGTTCCCTGGCCCTAGGCTAGAAAATCAGTCCCAGGCCAATCACAATGTGCCCTATGTCACCCAAGTCACATTCGACCTTCTACTGGGGAGGATGACTAAGTACTGACCAAGTCTGTTACCCTTTAAACCAAAGAGATGCAGCTTTCAGACAAGCCACAGAACCATTTGAGGATATCAAGACTAGTTGCACTCAGACTTCTTGTTTGAGTTGAGTTTCCTCCCTTTGGCAACCTCAGCATTTGGATGTCAGTACTCTGTGAACGACGGTTATCGTGTCTGTATCCTGCACAGGCTCCCTCTGCCCGATCTCCTACCTTGCCTCCGAACTATGGGCCTCACTGATACCATCATGGAACAAGATGAGAGACAAACAGGGCGTGGCTACCTCCAAGGGAAAAGGACTATGGGAAAGGCTCACACTGCATTCTGTGATGTAAGTAGCCAGGTCCTGCTCCAGGAGGGATCTCTGGGTTTCAGAGGCCTTCAGCTCCACCTCCTTTTGACTAAGCACGGCCTCCACCTCAGACACTCTCCGGTGCAACCGTGTCATTTCCTGCTCCATCTGCAATAAATACACCGACAGGTTAAGAGGGCCAAGTGTGGCTAATTTCAAAATACACTAGGCGCAGGGAGATTTTCCAGTGGTCTACAACAGACCGCCTTATTGGCCAGCCTCTAAGGCATCCACAAAGGTTGCTTAGATGTTAATACCATTGTCTCTGGTCCTGGTTTGCACAGCTCTTCTTAAGGACAGGCACCAACGCTAAGTCATTCCATTCATTCAAGCCGCTGGTTCACATTGGATCACTTCTCTACCCCAGTTAGCAAAGAAGCCACAACCATCATTTTTCACCTGTTTCTGCAGATGTCACTTTAACTTTATCCCAAATCCATCTTGAACCAGAGGATTCTCCCCCATCTCCTTGTAAGGAACTAGAGGACAAATCCAGTACAGGGAAAGGATATAAATATCTCTGGTCTCAAGAGTCTCAAGCAAGTAGTGAGTTTTAATAGCTTCCAGTTAGTTCCCTCTATGCAGGAACAGTGATTGTTATGAGACGTTGAGCACAATCAATAAAGTGGCCACAGTTACATAAGCAGAGACTTAAAGGCTAGGAAGACAGACTTCGGACCCTTCAAAGCAGCTAGGCCGTGTTTGTGCCAGTGATGAGGGGGAAGGGCCACCTGCTGGAAGAAGCAGTCATCTGGGTCATGCTGAGAAAAGGACTGTTTTAAATCCAGTGCCTCCTTTGGTTAAGATTAAGATATTTACAGCAAAGTCAAGGCCTGAACTCATCTCCTTCTGTACTGATGCAGGAGCAACTTGAGCGAAGGAGGAGCACTGCTCTCTACGGATCTGCTGGGTCAGCACATCAGCAGCACCGGGCTGATCCCTTGGCATACACTGGCTGAAGAATCCTGGAGCAAGGAGGGAGGCCAGCTGCAGAAATAAATACCTTGTGACACTTGTCCTGAGTGTCTTGTAGCTCTTTGCTCTTGATAAGAAGTTTCTTTTCCATGGAGCTAATCTTGGCAGGAGAGTCCAAACCTGATACAACAGACCTAAACAAAGCCAAACACCACATAAATATAGACAAATGATGGGCCAGAAGTATCATTCAGAACATTGTTGGTTACACAACAAACTAAGTGTGTAGGTGTTACATCTGTGACTGGTTAGCTCACTTGGTTTGGAATATAGTATTAATGAAATCAGTGTCTTGAGTTTAGTCTCCAGCTAGCTCTGCCCTAACCCTGGGCAGGTGTTATACCGACAAACTTGGAACAAAAGAATTAAGAGGGATACTGATAGACAAATCATTCAAAGGGCATTAAACACGGGAGAACTAGGGTCACTATCATATGTGTGACATGTGTGCACACACATAGACACACAGCACCATCCCTAAAGGAGGTCCTCAGCCTCCAAACATTTTTAACAGAAAAAATTTCATTAAAATAAACATCAGAGACAACCCTGAAAAATGGAACACTGCACTAACGTTAGAAACGGCAGTGGTATCATAGAGGAAAAGGCAACAGCCAAAGAGAAGACACCACAAAAGGGCAATACACAGGTTCAGGGACATACACAAGATCACTGACAGTCAAAGAAACATTATATTCCAACACTGATCAGCCATGATAACAGGTATAAAGAACAATCCTAACCACTGAAATTTCTTAAACCACAGCTTGAGCAGGACCTTCTGCATGAAGCTTTTCAATTCCCCCAACTACAACTTTACTCCCAAACTACCTTGTATTTCACTACTTCGTGTTTATTCTCTTCACATACTTATAAATGTTCTGCTCATCAACCTCCAGGAGAATGTGTTATCCCTCCAGCACCCATTCCAGAGCCTGGGCCATAGTATTCATAGAATAAATACTTCATGATTGATTAACTCAGGAAATACTTGGATTCCAAAATTAATAACTGTTCTCACTTATATTAACTCTCCACAATTTACAAAAAGCTTAACAAAAATTACATTTTATCCTCACAACAACCCTGTGAGGTCAGCACAATAGGGTTATCTGATCCTATTTTGTGGATGAGGAAACTCAGGTTCAAAGATGTTACATGACTTATCCAAGGTGCCCCAGTTAGTCAATGGCAAAGCTAGGACCAGAATCCAGGTCTTCTGATTCTTAATTAAGGGCTCCCTCCTTGATGATATCATGCCATCTCTCAGACTACACTAGCCCATCTACATTTCCTCCAAGAGGAAACACTGCAGGTCCCATCTGGAGGCCTTTGCACTGGAGTCCTCTACACCTTGACCTCAGCCTCCAGGAGCCCCCTGGATTCCTTCAAGACTCAGTTCCAATCCCACCTTCTGCAGGGTTCAATTCCTGTTCCCCTCCCCCATTCCCCAAGCTGCTAGTGCCTTCTCTTCCCATATTCCCTTCTATCTATTTTAAATATATTTCGTATTTGTCACCAAGTTTTTTATGTCAGCTCCCCATTACAAGGTGAAGTCCAGGAGAACTAGGACTGTTTTTGTCTTTCTTTGTAACCCCAGCACTTAGCACAATGCCTTACATAACATTTTACATAATAAGTAAAACAGAGATAATAATAGCACCTACCTCCCAGGGATGTTATGAGGGTCAAATGAGACAATATCTTTAAAACACTTTGCAAACCTTAATGTACCATATAAATGCTAGTTGTTATTATTATTATTCTTGATGATGATAATTATTATCCCTGACTATATATACATATAGCTATAATTAAATGTAAATATAAATCCCTGACTATATGTGTGTGTGTGTGTGTGTGTGTATATATATATATGTGTGTGTGTGTATATATATATATATATATGTGTGTGTATATATATATATAAATAATAATTATTACTCCCTGACTAGTTTAATGATAAAACATTGTAGGGTAAATCACTAACATTACTAAATGTCAAGAATATATTGCTATGGATGTAGAATTAATGCTTATTTTTTAAAGAACGTCCAGGCCCCTCTACAAATGTCTCCAACACCAGAAATGAGCAGTGGCCTCTGCCTGTAACAGCCCTCTTCCAAACTCTCTTTCTGTCAAAGGCACTATTCTTCTATTCTCCCAGGTCTGTAACTTCAGGATTACCCATGATTCCTCACTCTCCCTCACCACACACGTCCCACCAACTGCCAGATCCAGTTGTTTCAACCTGCACAACATTTCTTGCATCCAACCCCCTCTCTACTCACATAGCCACCACCACATAGTTTAGGCCATTCTCTCCTCCATAATGAGGTGACCTTTTTCTATGCCAAGACTAATCCCACTATATGTACCCTGGATCCCACTGCTTCTCACTTTCTCAATCAATCAGCAAGCATTATCAAATCCATACCATGTGCTGGGCAATGTACAAACACAGAGGATGCAAATCCAAAGAACAAAACAATCCCTACTCACCAGAAACTCACATTCAAATAAGTGAGACATAATGCCTTTTTTACTATGACCTCTCCCCCAATTTTCCATCGCTTCCTATCTACTAATTTCTTCCTCACTGTCTTCAAACATGCTCAAGTCCCTCTACTTTTTTTTTTTTTGCGAGGCAATTGGGTAACTTGCCCAAGGTCACACAGCTACCAAGTGTCAAATGTCTGAGGTCAGATTTGAACTCAGGTCCTCCTGACTCCAGGGTCAGTGCTCCATCCACTGTGCCACCTAGCTGCCCCAAGTCCCTCTGCTTTCAAAAACCTTTCTACATTCTTCCATCACCACTAGCTTTCCTTCCATTACATCCCCTCCTATTCTTGTCCAAATTCCGTGAAAAAGACTCCCCTCTGTTCCTCACACATGACACTCCATCTTCTTTCTCTGTGTCTTTGCAGGGACTGCTCTCCATGACTAGAATGCATTCCCCCCTCCCCTCCATCTCACAGAACCCCTCCCTCTTTCTTCAAGTTACAGTTTAAGCTTCATCTTTTACTTGAAGATTATCTTGATCTAACCCCCTCCTTCCCTAACACCTGTATATTTTGTGTGTGTATACTGTACACACACACACACACACACACACACACACACACACACACACACACGCTTTCTCACCTAATAGACTATAAAAGCCTGTAGGGAGTAGGCATTGTTTTATTTTTCATATCTGTGCCCCAGTGCACAGTGCCTGGCACATAGAAGGTGTTTAATAAATGCTTGTTGACTGACTGATTAATTCTACATGGCCGTCCAGACCCTCCTACTCATCCAAAGGATACGTCCTCCATTTTGCTATTTTGGTGCTTAACAAATGTTCACTGTTTGGAAGTTCTAAGTACAGTCATTAAGAGCTCTTCAGAGGGAAAAAAAAAGGTGCTAAATAAATCTTAAAAAGAAATGAATAAATAAAAAGCACAACTAAAAAAAGACTATTACAAAAATGTTGTGAATACAAACAGCTTGTGGAAATAATCTCAGAAACAGCAATAGGATGAAAAGACAGGATGGACAATAGAGGAAGAAGTAATCTTGTCCATCTGTTAATTAGCAGAAGGCTCCCCTGGCACAGGGTCCAGTGGTAATTTAAGTGCCACATGGCATTTGGTTCCGTTGGCATAGACAAGTCACTGAGAACTGTATCCTTCCGGGCACACTTTGATGACGAAGTGGACCTTGTTCTCACCAAGGCCCTCTACGCATACCCTTAACCCCATTCCCTCCCATCCTCTCCAGCACGTTACCTATTATCTTTTTCTCTAATCTTCAATCTCTTCTGTCTATTGGTTCCTTTCCTGCTCCCTAAAAACACACTCAAGTCTCTCTTACCATCAAAAAAATCCTCCACTAAATCCTATGATCCCCTTTAGGAATCATCTTTTTTCTCAACCAAATTCCCTGAAATAACCATCTATACTAAATGCCTCCACTTCCTCTCCTCTCACTCGTCTAAATCCTCAGCAATCTGACTTTCAGCATCATTCCTCAAATGAAACTGCTTCTCTCCAAAAGAATCTCTTAACTGTGAAGTCTACTGACCTCTTCTTCATCCACATTCTTGTTCTCTGCAACATCTAACACTGCTGATCACTCGCTTCCTCCTAGGTACTCTCTCCTGCCATGGGTTTCCATGACACTATTCTCTCCTGGTTCTCTTATCTGTCTGACCAACTTCTTCTCAGTATCCTTGGTTGGATATGCCCAACAACTGCGGTTGTACCAAAAGGTCCTCTCCTCTTTTCTCCCTGTAGTTTCTCAAGTAGTAACCTCCCATAAGTTGAATTATCATCTCTATACCAATGACTTACACACACACACACACACACACACACATGCACACACACACACACCCCTAGTCTTCCTCCTGAGTTCTAGTCCCACATCACCAATGGTGTAATGACATTTCAAACTGGATGCCCTATAGACATTTCAAACTCAAAATGTACAAAACAGAACTCATTATCTTTCCCCCAAAATTCACCCCAGTTTGAAACTTCCTTATCACTACTGAAGCAAACACCACCCTCCCAATCACTCTGATTCACAAGCAGTGTCATCCTTCAATTCTCACCCTTACCTCGCATGTACTTAATCAGTTGCCATGTCATATCACGTCTCAATGTACAATAATCACATGGTTTAGGACCTCATCACCTCTCACCTCGATTATTGCAAATCATTCTAATTAGAGTCCCTGTTTCAAGCCTCTCCTCCCTTTAATCCATCTTCCACTCAGCTGGCAAAGGGATTTTCCTAAAGCACAAGTCTATGTCACTCCCCTGCTCAATAACATCCATGGTTCCCTCTTCCCAACCCACTCCCTTACCACAGTTCCAGTCTTCTTGCACATTATCACCATCCCTGCCACACCCCACTCCAGCCAGACTGGCCTACGTCTCCCATTTCTGTGCCTTGCATGATGGCTTTGTCAAGTCTGGAATGTTCTCCTGCCCCACCTCTGACTCCTGGAATCCTGGGTTTCTGCCAAGACTCACTGTAGTGCTCCTTTCTAAAGAAAAAAGTCTTTCTTGATAATTTCCCCACTCCGCTGCTGGTGTCCTCCCTTTCAAAATTACCACATACTTATTTTGTTTATTCTCCATCG